TTACCTGGTGGAATCCAAAAGTTATTTGATGAAAGGGAAGGGGGATACTATTTAAGGGGTCAGTTAAATCTAAAAGTTCATGCTATACGTACAACCAAAAAAAGATTTTGTATTTCTATAAGTGGGGTCAAATTATGGAATAATTTAAGTGTGGACATGAAAAACAGTACTTGAATTGAGGAGTTTAAATATAAATATAAAAGTATGTGACATTCACAATATATGCAAGAATAAGAGATTTAATCAAGAATGCATGAATGAAACACTCTGTTTTAAATTTTCTGTATATTACTTGTCTGGTGAAGAAGAGAATTACCTATGTAGAGATACTGCTTGCAGCCAATGATGCATGAAATTTTTTGTATAAGATGATGTTATGGGGTAGGACTGGATAAGTCTGACTTCTTCCTACTCCATTCAAACATGTACTAGGTATAAGCAAACTGATTCTGGATTAGCATTAGTTGGATTTGTGTAATTATGTGTGTGTTGATATCTTTTGTTTCTACATGTTTGAAAGAATAAATCAAATCAAATCAAAATCAAAATCAAATCAATAAACAGTAGTAAAAACAGGGTTTGAATTCATTAAAATCTTTTAAGCCTAATGCCAATTATAGAAGTGAGCAGTAGTAAACATAAAGCCAATGTTGTCCACCTTCTATCTTCCAGGTGACTTTCAACATTGAGAGCATCAGGAAATTCATTAACAGTCAATTTGTCTTAAAGAGCTACAAAGACAAACAAACCACACTCAAACTAAGAGGTAGGTATTACATTTTATAATAAACATAAGAACCAACTTCATCTTCTTCAAGGATTGAGTAAGTAAGTAGAAGAAGAGAGAAAAAGCATGGCTGTGGGTAACCAAGAATGGGGCGGGGAACTACAGAAATATATTGCCTCTGTAAATTAACCTGTATTCATTTTGTCTGTAGGCCAGATGTTGTGGATGGATTCTCTTGGCTGCATGTTGTACCTGTGTTCTCCAAAGCTCCGAAGCCTCCAGGAACTTCAAGATGTCGGCCTTCACCTGGCTGACCTGGCCCAGCACGACGTCACCAGAGACCTGGTTCTCCTCAACCAGCAACGTCTTGCTGAGATGGAGCTCACCAACCAGCTGGAGAGAAAGAAAGTAGGAATGCAATGTGTAATTCATGTCAACAAAATAGCCCATTTTATGAGCAGGATACTAATCAGTTCAGTGGAAATAATGGCATTCATTTAATGTAACCAAAATTTTAATTAAAATTTAAAGCATTTTGAGACAAATATGTGGCTACAAATAATGGGCTACATACAATTTAATTATGTATAGTAAACCAGTGCACCAGAGACAATCATAGACCTCACAAAACCTTTTCATTGGAAGGCCAACTAGGTTCATTAAAAGGCCACCTTTCTTTCATTTTTCTCTGTTCACACAGTTGCATATTAACACCTCAAAACTGCCCAAAGCAATCACAGCCTGACCTGTGGCCACTGAGCAGCCCCACTGGAGCCGTTGGGGTTAAGCGCCTTGCCCAGTGGCACCACAGTGCTAATGAGTGGAAAAATGATTGCTTTGTCACATGTCCTACCCAGATTTAAACCTGCTGGTCTTCAACCAGTGACCTTGAGGTTGCAAGTTCTCTAACCTTTATGCCCCCACTGCCCCAATTTATGAGTTCACAGTGGATGTCTATCTGAAGTTTATTACCTAGCTATAAGCCATAGTCAAAATCTATCTTTATTAACCCAAGCAACCTCAAATGAAAAAAATAGCATGAGAAATTGTGTTTTCCTAAAAGAAAATAAAAATTAATAATGAGAATGCGCAGACTACACATCAAATAAGTTTTAAGGTTCTGTTTGAAAACATCTGTGCCTGATTAGTTTCAAGGTGTGGACCTATGACACAAAAAATAGCATCACCGTAGGTGACAGCTCTGGCCTTTGGAATGATTAGAATGCCAGAGTTTGATGATCTCAGGGATTTAGAAGGGGTATATCTGAAGACCAGTACATCAGAAATAGTGCCAATGCATTAAGCAACCTAAAAACTAAAAGCCTTTAAAACAGGAAATGTGTTTTCTATTCAGCATGTTTTTACAGAGACAGTTAATAGATCTGAAATTGGTAGAATATTTATAATAGAGTTTCTGTGTGTGTGTCTAATAGGAGGAATTAAGAATCCTGTCACGGCACCTGGAAGCTGAAAAAGAGAAGACAGAGACACTGTTGTATGCCATGCTTCCTCGTCACATAGCCAATCAACTTAAAGATGGGAAGAGTGTCAAGGCAGGTCAGTCTGTCTATCACTCCAGCTGTCTGTATCTACATATGTCTCTGGCTGTGTCACAGTGTCTGTATTTTTCAGGGGAGTTCAAGGTGTGTACAATTTTGTTCAGTGATGTGGTAACCTTCACAAATATCTGCGCTGTCTGTGAGCCTATCAGCATTGTTCACATGCTCAACTCCATGTACACCAAGTTTGACCGACTCACCAATGTACATGACATCTACAAGGTATTGTCCCTAATGTAACATCCTCTTGTCAGCTTCATAGGAGGTTTAGCATGGTGGTGGTGTGGTTGTTGAAATATTTTTACACAAGATTATAAAAGACCTTATGTGTTCAAACAAGAAAGATATTGTGTTGAAGCTAAAACAGAGTAAAATAGTGTGCTATATGAGGTTGCTGGCTATCATTACAGTAAAAAATTCCTTCCACCATTGTCCACTTGTCCTTACTTAGCCCTTTCTGTTTTCTTTTTTTCAGTCAATGTCATGTTGTCTCTGTAATCATGTGCTACTCTCTCCTGTGGGGTGCCACAAGGTTACATTCCACCCTGTCCCTTTTTTGTGATATTTACGCCCTTTGGGGTATAGCAAGATTAATTACATATTTATCTGCCCTTAAGGCCAAATACTGCATCACAATCTCTGCTCAACTGTCTGAGTGACATTAAGCTCTGGCTGTCACAAAATTTCTTTTGAATGAAAACAAGACTGAATGCATTATATTCGACACCTCAGGCATACTTGCCAGCTTTGACTCATCTTGGATGTCTAGCCTCTCAATTTAAATGAGCTGTAAAGAATCTGAGGGTGATCTTGGACAGTGAGTTAAAACTTGATAACAGATCAGCTTTGTTGTAAAAAAATTTGCTTTTTTAAACTTCATCTACTCACTAAGGTAAAGTCCTTCCTTATTTACAAGCACCTTGAAAAGGTAATTCATGCTTTTGTCAGTACAACATTAGACTTATGCATATATTGGAGCCAACTAATACAGAATGCTGTTGCTCACCTTTTAACCAACACTCCCAAGTGTAAACATCTAACTCCCATTCCTTACTCCCTCCACTGGCTTCCTATAAACTTAAAGGTTGATTTTAAGATTTTGATGTTCATCCATAAAGCCCTCAGTGGCTTCGCCCCTTCCTGTTTGGCAGAACTTTTAGTCCCCTGCAAGCACAACAGAGCACTCAGGTCTTCCATTCAATTTCTGTTAGAAGTCCCAAGATCCAGATGTCAGCAATGAGGCAACCGTGCTTTTTCTGTGAGTGCTCCCAGACTGTGGAACATTCAACCAGCTAACAATGACTCCATTACAATGTAACACTTCGGTCATAAGATTGGTCATAATGTGTAGCAGTATGCTGTATGTAACTGTACTTTTGAATTTCACATAGGTCAATCAAATATAGTTTCATTTGCCATGGGGTTTATTGTTTTCCTAAAGGTTGAGACTATTGGTGATGCATACATGGTGGTGGGTGGTGTTCCAGTCCCTACAGAAACCCATGCTCACAGAGTGGCAAATTTTGCTTTGGGTATGAGGCTTGCTGTCAAAGAGGTCATCAACCCTGCAACAGGCAAACCCATACAGGTAAGGCTTTTTATGGTTTCTTTCTCCAATCAATAATCTTGTCTATGTATAACATAACCAAGAACAATGTGTCTTGTCAATGTGTGCAAAACAGTAACAGTAATATAAGAGATGCAAACACCACACCCTCTTAAGGGTAACAGGGAGCATTCTTACATTAGCAGCAACACCTTGGCTCAATAGTTGTAAACATTACTGTAAATAAACAATGGGGAGCTTATAGTGAAGTGGATTGTCATAGAGTTAGAGTGATACACAGTTAAAGTACATGTAGTGGATTCAGGCCAGTGGTATTGTCACAGTAAAGGGATAAGATGGCCTGTGTGTTAAGTACAATTAATTGAAACAAACTGCAATTTCTTATCTTTTCATGGGTAGTCAAGAATTTATGGAGGAAAAAGTAATAAATTTACATGTTATTGTTTCTTTTTCCCAAGGAGATGATATTTAATCATTTTCTGATTCAATAATCGGTAGATGATGTAAAACATACCATATACTACAGGTATGTGCCAAAAAATTAGAATATCGAGGGAAAGTCCATTTATTTCAATAATTTGTTTCAAAAAGTGAAACTTGTATGTTATATTAGTTCACTACACACAAAGTGAAATATTTCAAGCCTTTATTTGTTTCAATTTTGATGATTATGGATTAAAGACAAAAAAAACCCAAATCCAGTATTTCACAAAATTAGAATATCATGACAAAGTTCAACATTGTAGGCTCCCTGTGTCCCAATCTAGTCAGCTAATTAATGCAAAACACCTGCAAAGGTTTCCTCAGCCTTGAAATTGTCTCAGTCTGGTTTAGTAGGCTTCAGAATCATGGGGAAGACTGCTGACTTGACGGTTGTGCAGACGACCATCATTGACACCCTCCATAAGGAGGAAAAGTCTCAAAAGGCAATTGCAAAAGAAGCTGGATGCTCACAGAGCGCAGTATCAAAGTATATTAACAGAGTGTTAAGAAGAAGGGAAGAATGTGGCCGGAAAAGGTGCAAAAGTGACAGGGATGACCGCAGCCTTGAGAGGATTGTCAAGCAAGGGCGATTCAGAAATCTGGGGGAGCTTCATAAGGAGTGGACTGAGGCTGGTGTCAGTGCATCAAGAACCACCACATACAGACGTCTGCATAACATGGGCTACAGCTGTAGAATCCCATGCGTCAAGCCACTCCTGAACCAAAAACAACGTCAGAAGCGTCTGTGCTTGGCTAAGAAGAAACAG